TGTCTCTCTGTGTCTCTGTCTCTCTGTCTCTCTGTCTCTCTGTCTCTCTGTCTGTCTCTCTCTCTCTCTCTCTCTCTCTCTCTCTCTCTCTCTCTCTCTCTCTCTCTCTCTCTCTCTCTCTCTCTCTCTCTCTCTCTCTCTCTCTCTCTCTCTCTCTCTCTCTCTCTCTCTCTCCGTCTCTGTCTCTGTCTCTGTCTCTGTCTCTGTCTCTGTCTCTCTCTCTCTGTCCCTCTCTCTTCTCTCTCTCTCTCTCTCTCTCTCTCTCTCTCTCTCTCTCTCTCTCTCTCTCTCTCTCTCTCTCTGTCTCTCTCTGTCTGTCTGTCTCTCTCTCTGTCTCTCTCTCTCTGTCTCTCTCTCTCTGTCTCTCTCTCTCTCTGTCTCTCTCTCTCTCGCATTCTCTCTCTCGCTCGCTCCTCTATAGATAGACATGCGTACGTGTGTATTTGCGAGCGTTTGTCTTATGCATTTGTATGGGTATGTGTGTATGTGTGTATATGGTAGTGCTGAAACGATAACGTTTTTTCCTTAGTGGCTTAGCTGATACCATAACGATCGGCTTATCGGCTTAACGATTATTATTGTAACTACATCAGTACATACATTCTGTGAATTTCAAAACAATTACGAGCCCCGTGACGGTCCAACATCGCCAGCGACGGAAAGCGGGCGCATCGATCCGATGATCCCGCAACAAGTCTGTCAGCTGTTCGGACTGACCAGACGAATACAGACATGACAGAGGCAACTCACTGATTGCAACCCAAGAGCTGATGGTGCCCTTCGCCTGTGACTTCGCTGACTCCAACGATGAAGTCAGAGAAGCCGGCCAGGGGTTTAGATCAGCGGATTTCGACGGATGAGCTGACTTGAGGCACACCAACAAGTAACTAGTTGCTTTTCCTGTCTATGCTCAAAATAGGCCCAGACGCCAGGCCTAGCTCGTCGTCGAGCAAACTGGTTCGGGAACCGTCGACAGAACGGAAAACATGAAACTAAAGACCACTTTACTGTCTTTAGCTCAAGACTACTCGCACGTGGAGGGAACTCCATCCCCTACAGCTTGTGTAGACACATACTGAGCCTGCCCGTCCTGCATGCTGTATCATAGTGTATGTAACAAAAGCAGTCAGCTGAAAAGACAGCGACGGCGTCGATGTTTCTCAGATCGCGCTTGTACTTTACACGTACATCGATGTTGCAAGTGTACAGTATGTACATATTCATGTCGTACATCTACTCGCAACACTTTCGATGCACGCTTTGTGCGACCCCAAAAGGGGGGAAATCCCGTACCGAACGTAAGTACCATTCTACTTGTTTAGCTGATAAAATCGAAATAACCGTTCGATCTATTTCTTATCGAGTAAGTAACGAGTAATCGATATAATTGTTTCAGCACTAGTATATGGGTATGTAAGTATCTATGTATGTGTGATTTTTTGTCATACACATGTGGTCGTGCGTCTACCGACAGTTGTGGCAAGTGAAATCCGACACTTGCCATAGGGGACAGCGCCACAAATGGACACCAATGTTGTAATGCACTGCACCTAATTTGTATCACAGAGCCGTATGCATCCCAAAAACGAAAGGTCACAAGCTAGATACACACAGTTCACAAACATGGTACACATAAGGAGTATTGGTATCCAATCCCTATTCATTTTTGCCAGCACCTTTTGAACCTTGACTGTGATGAGTACGAGTTTTGTCATTGGATAGATAAAGTTGTATGTAACACATGTACTGTACGTATGCAGGGCTGCAGGAGCTGCAGATTGCATGGTGCAGTCCCTTATGCCAAGTGTCGGATTTCACTTGCCACAACTGTACTTCCGGATCTGTATTCCTGCAGAATTCTCCGCCAGAGAGTCAATGAGAGGAATCTGGCGCATAAAGCTACACAGTCTAGCCCCGGATAGCACCAGGTACCAGCCGGAGACTCTAAGGTTCACTACTGAACTTCTGCATGACCACGGTCCTGTGCCTTGCCCAATAATGGCAATATCGTCAAAATGTGCTACCAGGTGCCGATTCCCTGAGAGTGACCTTCTTCTGTACGTTAATTTAATTTATACATTTTTGTGATACATTTAAGGCACCATTAGCGCCGCCACTATTCTCTTGATGATTACAAGATAGCTTTTGGGGGGCATGTTCAGTTGTTATGGATCTCATTGCCAATGCCACGGACACTGTCAATGCTTAGCTATATGCATCCGTTTCCTTACCTGCCTGCCTCTATCTATCTGTCTTAATCTAAACGTCTCTATCTACCTCTACTATCATCTTTGTTTTCCAAGCAACTTGCAACTACATTGCTACCTGCCTCTATCTATCTGTCTTATTCTACATGTCTCTATCTACCTCTACTATCATCTTTGTTTTCCAAGCAACTTGCAACTACATTGCGCATTCATTCGCTCAAGCTCTCTACTTTAACTTGTTAAATAGTTTTCATTGTAGTTTTTCTCTATCTATCCACCTATCTCTGTCTCGGTCACCGTCTAGGTGTGGTGGTCTGTCTCTCTGTCTGTCTGTCTCTCTGTCTGTCTGTCTGTCTGTCTGTCTGTCTGTCTCTCTCTCTCTCTCTCTCTCTCTCTCTCTCTCTCTCTCTCTCTTTCTGTCTCTGTCTCTCTTTCTGTCTCTGTCTCTCTTTCTGTCTCAGTCTCTCTCTGTCTCAGTCTCTCTCTGTCTCTTTCTGTCTCTGTCTCTTTCTGTCTCAGTCTCTCTCTGTCTCTCTCTGTCTCTGGTTGAACAAGCGGTCACGTGCTCCTGGGTGCCCAAATTACCTGGTCACCACGCCTGCAGGCGACAACTAACTTTCACACCAAGGTTCAACTCGAGTTCAACTCGAGTGACAGGACTGCACCCAAAAAAGGTCAAACAGGCTAGTAAGTTGTACCCTGCAGGCACGGTGACCAGGTGACTGGTGTACGCAGGAGCACGTGATCGCTTGTTCAACCATGTTCGATTGGGAATAAAGGAGGAACGCTGCATCGCAGCCTTTTCGGACCAAAACCAGTCGACTAAAGCCCGATTCACAATACAACTTTCTGCGACGCGACACGCGATTTGCGACAGTTGCGACAAGAAACTGCCTGTCGCGAGCTGTCGCAAGCTGTCGCAATGCACCTGTCGCAGAAGTTGAAGAAAGTTCAACTTTTGCGACATGCGACACGCGACATACACAAATGGAGTACTAGTTTCGACCCTGGGTGCACGTGCAGTGCACGTGCATAGTACTACTTGTGCATGAGGCCGAGGATGTCGCAAACATGAAGAATATTGTGAACCGTGTGTCGCTGTCGCAAGTCGTCGCATGTGTCGCAAGTCGCATGTCGCGTCGCAGAAAGTTGTATTGTGAATCGGCCTTTAGCGTCCAAAAGACTACAACATATGGGCCAATCGCGGTCATCCGTGCTTTTTATAAGAACGAAATGGCGCTTTTAGTGACATTTTGCATACAAAAAAATCCCCATCTAGCAGGGCGCAGTCACCCAGTTTCGGTGGAAGTGCGCGAGTTCGATTGGGATTCAAGTAGGAAGGGAGCTCTCAGCTTCCTCGGACCACGACCATTCGACTCAGCACCCTGAAGACTACAACTGGTGAAATTTTAATTTTTGCCTTAACTTCCCCAGGGTTCAAAGGTTAAACTCTGGGGGGTCCCGGGGCCAGACCAAGCACGACCGACACAGTGTGCCTTATTTGGCCCAAAGGTCAAAGGTCAAAAAGTGCACCAGGACCTGCCCCGCACTTACTACTATTTATTTATTTATTTATTTATTTATTTATTTCTGCACCTCGTGGCATGTCAAGACAGCCAATTGAGTTGAGGAGAGGGTGAGACCAACCACGGAAGAAGAGAAAAAAGAAAATTAAGAGCACGTACACAAAGTGGGAAGGGATTAGCAACTTACAAAGCAATGGGAGCAACTTACAAAGCAATGGGATGCTCAGCGAGCTATGCAGCGGAAGTGGTGACTGTGACTTTGTTTACTGGGAGATACTGAAGTGCTGTCTGACGAGGGTACGGAATTTGGGCATATCTGGAGCTTGTCTAACACTGGGAGGCAGTTGGAGCCACGTGGAGTAGGAGGAAAAGAAAGGGGAATTTACGAATAGGGTAGACCTAGCTAGGGGGAGACGAACGCAGCTTCGGGTGGTGCCACCTGAATTGAACCAATTAAGGGACTGTAAATGAGCAGGGTGCTGGTCAAGGAAAATTGAATGCGCCAGGGTGCACTTGGAAGCATCAAGGTAATGTTGCAGAGTGGTAGTGGATGCAGCAGTATACAAGTCTAGATTTGAGGTATAACGATCAGTACGGAATATGATTCGCAGTATACGGCGATGGAGAACTTCTAATTTACCTATGTGGGTTTTGTTAATGGTGGACCAGGCAGGGAAGCCGTACGTGAAGAGGGGAAGAATGTATGATTTATAAAAATTAATCCGGCAATTTTTGGGCAAATGGGACAAGTGACTTGACATTATGCCGACAGATCGGCATACTTTGGACGACACATGATCAGCATGGTGAGACCAGGAGAGGGCGGAATCTATGACAATGCCAAGGTGTTTATGGTGGGGCGCTACAGAGATAGGGTGACCGGGATCATCGGGAAAGTGGAAGATGGGCACTGGATCTGTGGGAGGGGGAAACAGGAGGAGCTCGGTTTTGGTCACATTTGGCTTTTAAAGGTACCAAGTGCTCATCCAGTGAACAATGTCGTTGATACAGGTCTGAACTTTGGGGTACAGGGTGGCGTGAGATGGGGAGGAAGCAAGGACAGTGGTATCATCTGCAAACAAAGAAATATTGGGAATTGAATAGGGGAGGTCATTAACGTATGTGAGGAAGAGCAGGGGACCTAAAATGGAGCCCTGGGGCACTCCGGATGTCACAGACTCGGGGTCAGATAAGGTTCCATTTACTGTGACGCACTGATTTCGGTCCAAGAGGTAGCTAGTTATCCAGGCGAGTAGGGAGCCGGAGACACCATGGGCACGAAGTTTGGCGATCAGGCCCTTGTGCCACACGGTGTCGAAGGCCTTGGAGAGGTCGAAGAAACAGATGCAGGAGACCTGCCGCTGGTCTTTTAGGGAGCAGAGGTCTTGGATTATGCGGGATAATTGCAGGGATGTGTTGTCCTTACGACGGAAGCCAGATTGTGCGGGGTGAAGAAGAGGGGAGATATGGTCGTACAAGCGGTCGTACACTATTCTCTCTAGCAGTTTGGAGACGCAGGACAGGAGGGAGATTGGTCGGTAATTAGACGGGTTGTTCTTGTCGCCTTTATTTTTGTACACTGGAATGACAGTGGCTGACTTCCATCGTGACGGGAATGTGCCGGAGGAGAGGGAAAGGTTAAAAAGAATGGAGAGTGGGCGGGCAATTGAGTAGCTCAGTTTCCTGAGGATCTCATTGGTGATCCTATCAGCTCCGGGGGATTTGTTCAGAGGCAGTCTTGCAATATACTTGTGAACAGTCGATGAGGTGATGATCAGGGAGTGCAATGTAGTTGCTGGTGGAGGTAGAGAGGAAATAGTGGGAATAGGAGCATCGGGGTCAACCTGTAAGCCAGCACTAACGAAGTGGCGGTTCAATAAGTTACCAATGGATGCCGGAGAGGTGCTTGTTCGACCATTGGGGCCCACCATCTTCGAAGGTATAACCCGGGCGCTGGTAGGATTTCGCAGTTGACGAATGAGCACAGGGAGGGATGGGAGGCGAGGGTTTGTGGGAGATATCGTGGCACGGAGGTTGCGGATGTAGCAGCGATGGCAGGATCTGGAAAGGCATTTTACATAGTTACGTTGGTGTTTGTATTTGTTGAAATTTGTAGGGAATGGGTATTTCCGGTAGATGCTGTAGAGATCGCTCTTGACTTTAATAGCTGCTTTCAGTGACGGAGTCATCCAGGGGCAGGGTTTGTGGCGTGATTTCCGACGAGGAGGTGAGGATCTTCCTATATATAGGTCCAAGGCACCTTCAAGGATGTCAGTGAATGCGGAGACAGCCGTGTCGATGCAGTGGGAGGCAAGGACCTGAGACCAGGGTACAGCTGCGAGAAAAACATTCATGGCATTCCACATGTTATCCGTGGCACTCAGGACATTGTATTTTTGTGTAGATGGTGGGCTACGGCAGGTGCTGGCTGCTGTGGGGGAAGACTTTGAGGAGGAGAACTCAGCCAGCAGGACGGCATGGTCTGATGCGCCAAGAGGAGCCAGGTGTTGAATGTGGTTGAGTTGGTTAGGGATGTTGCTCGCGATAAGGTCTAGACAGCTGCCAAGTCCATTCGAGCGGAGGTGGGTGGGAAGGGTTACCAATTGGGTCAAATTATAGCATGAGAAGAGGTTGTCAAGACTCAGACCCTGTGCATCCGTTTGGTCAGTTGAGCACCAGCCGGAATACCTACAGTTGAAGTCGCCTGATATCACAAGGGCTTCGGGCTTCCTTTGTGTTGATTGCAGGGCTATTTGGAGGCGGTCGAGAAAAGTCGAGAAGTCATCCGTCGACGGGGAAGGAGCACGGTAGATACAGGCTACTGTTAGGTGGGTTGTTGGCAGGTCAGAAGGTGAGACAAGCTTATGTTCAGCGAGTGTAAGCCGAAGTGCTAGCGCTTCCAAGCCCGGTTGCTGAAAATCCGGTAGCTGATCAATGGAAGTGCACAGACCTTCACGAACTAAGATTAGAACTCCTCCATACCCCCTGTGTGGGTCACGGTTCTGTCTATTTTCTAAAACAGGTCGGTCTCGACGGAAGCATTCATAGTGTGGCACGTGGAAAGCTTGTGTGGGAGTTAGCCAGGTCTCTGTGATGCATACTACGCTGGGTGTGTGATCTTCACAGATTTGAATGAGTTCGCCAGACTTGTTTGCTATGGAGCGAGCATTAAGGACACAGATTGTAAGTCGGTGAGTAGCAGCATGTACAGAATGGGGGAAGAAAGGTGGGGCAAGAGCGTTGAGAGGCGCAGGGGTTGAAGTGGAAGAGGAGGGATAAAGGTTACGCATTGGAAGCTGGCTTCGTCACTTTGGGGCTGTCCGCAAAACGCCACTTGCGTACTGAGTGGCTGATGGCTTCGGGCCAGAAGGCTCTGTCTAGTACACGCTCTTCATGTTCTGCAGCCACAGTGACTCTGGCATACGATGTGCCAAGGTATTTGGACTCCATGACGGAGCAATTTAATACCTCCACGTCCCTCGCTTCGCACCAGTCTCTGATGGAGTGAGCGTTGCAACCGCTGTTGATGCTTCCAACGTAGAGCACAAGTTTGTTGATGGGCACCACCCCTGTCAGGACGCACGGATCAGCAGGTTCCGTGTTAGGTGATTCCTTCACGTACCGAGAGGTTATAGTAGCCCGCAGAGCTTTGGATACGCTGTCCGTGAATTTGTCCTGCCGTCCTTTTCGTCTATGGTTCACCTCTTTCCACGTGTTCTGTGTTGGCTCTGTACTACATATGCCAGTGACCCCTGCTTCACAGCATTGTGTGTCGGCTGCGTGGACTGTACAACTACAAGTATCACTGGTGCATGCAGCACACATTGGG